AACACAGCAATATCCAAAGAAGCCTTTATAGCAGAAAAATCACAAGAACACATCTTTTGAATAATACAACAGAATTATTTATTTCTACACAACAGTGCAATATTATAATAATTGTTTACATTCATTAACCTTGTTTTTAAATAAATATATTATATTTTTCAGCCTTGTCCGTTATTGATTTCCTTTAAAATTATCCTGCCGAGAGACTAATCCACTGAACTATTGAATTGGCAGTTCGAGCCATAAGCTAACCCTTTAAATCCGAACACAGATGCTTGTTTAATTTCTTTAATTTTTATTTTATTCAACTATCCTTGTTTAATGAATTTGAAAATTTTTTATGGGTAGAAAAAAATATTAAAATATTTTCATTCCTTTTAGAGAAACTGTTAATCAAAACAATTTGAAAAATAAATTAAGAAATATAATGGTTGTTTAATGAAATGAAATTTCAGTTTAAATAAATATATAAAGAAATTTATTAAATTTAACGTTATTGGCTAAATGACCTTGCTCTATACATACTCTATCTGTCACTATTAGTTTGAGAATTACAGTTCATATTGATTCATTCATACTAGAATTACATAGTAGTATCTATATTAGGTGTAATAAAACCGTTACGAATGATATATTATTAATTCAGGCTCAAGATAATACAGATACCAATGCAATAACCATGACTGTTCTCTATGATTTTATGGTACCGAAGCCTAAATCCATGTGAATATAAGATCGACAACTAATATAAAAGCCCTTGAATACATCAAATAATTTGAAGATTAATAAAGTATGATCAACTATGATAGTCAAAACTCTTGACTACAATACATTGATTGCATAATCTATTCATTTATCAAGTTAGAATAATCCAAAGAAACTGATGGAGAGAGCAACTCCCCTCCATGATGGGGGGTCTTGATGCCGCGCTTTTCTCTCTCCATCCTAGCATTGTCGCATGCATTTCTTGTAATCATGCGCGTTGCGATCGGTCAGTGTTGCGAAGGTTAAGTGTAGCATTGTTTTTGAGTGTATCATCTGGCTTGTGTTTTTCAGACTAATTTTAAGACTTGTGTACGCCAGATGTTTTATGACTTATCGTCGATAGATGCTTCGTTTTTGCTGGACACTTGGACCTTTGTTCTCGCCAGATGTGTTTATGAATTGTATTTTCTTTAGATATTCGAAGGTTTGCTGAATTGTTTAGATTTAGTTAATCCGAGACGCGTTTGAATGTTTATTTTTTGAGGAGTCAAGAGTTCGCTTTTTTCGGAACTCTTATCTCGAATTTTCCAGATGTTTAATGAACTGGAAGTTTTCTGACATTCTCGACAAATAGTATGAATGTGATTGAGATTTTTATGTACGCTAATAATATTTCGCATAATATTTAATTTTTTCTATTGTTTTGATTATTCTAATTTACTATCTGTTTTAACTTGTGGAGATCACTTATTAAATATTAAAAATTTCATAAATCAGTAAAACAAAAATATTTTTCTAAATATATTTTAAAGGATATAAAAAAATTTTAGAAAAAAGAATAAAACTGTAATTTTGATGGAAGAAATGTACTTACTTTAAAAAGTATTAAGTACAAAAATTATAGGATTTGATTAAAATTTTTTTTTATTTTATTTATTATATTTATCATTTTATTTCAATAAATAATTTAAATTTTTGTAGCAATCAATATATATACATAATAAATAAAAAATTGTTCTAAAAATGATTATCTTAACAAAATTAATTATCTACATATTTTATAAATATTTTAGATTGCTGAATCTATATCACCATCAACTGAAAACGTAATAGCAAAAGTTCAGCAGTCTACTGTAGAAGAAGTACATAGTGCAATTGATAAAATTTATGATTGTTGGCCGAATTGGGCTGCTTTGCCATCTCCAATGCGAGGTGACATAGTACGCCAAATTGGAAATGAAATACGAAAATTTAAAATTCCATTAGCCAAATTAATTTCTCTGGAAATGGGTATATCAATATTTTATAAATATAAATATTAATTTAAATTTATTTAAACATACATCTGAAAATGTTAACACATATTTACATTGTAAATACGAAATAAATATCTTAAAGGAAATTTTAAGTATATGAATGGAAATCATTTTTTATTCTTATTTTTACATTAAATTACACAATAATTAACTTTTCAATTATTATTCGAATGAATATTTATATTACAGTTTATTTAAAACTAAATTTAAAATGAATAATTTAAGTTATATTTAGATAAATATAACTATGTTGAAAGTTATTATTTAATTGATTAGTTCTTAAAGTATTGATGATTGTAATTAATTTAACTAGTTTTTTATTTTAATTTAACTTTTTATATTCCTTCAAATTTTTAATGTAATACTCTACATTATAAATCACAAAATTATTTAAAAAATTTTTTTAAACCTATCACGCTTCGCAGAATATAAATAATTCTATAAATTAGTATGAGATGAACGACATTTATCTAATTACAATGAAATTTTCTAATTACAATTTTACTTTTATTACTAATGTATAATAAAGAAATTTCATTGTAAAGATTATTTATCTGTTTCGTGAATCACCTCCAGTACAATTTGTCAGCTTCATTTAATATATTTATAGAAACAAATTTCTATATTTACGCAGTAACACTTTAGAAGTAAAAAATATAGTCAACAAGCTATAACAAAACCTATAACAAAACAAAACAAACTATAATACCTATACCCACAACTATAACAAAAGATAGGGGCTGTTTCATTAAATATAAAATAATAATATAAGTAGTATAAATCATAAATCTTGTACGATAGTAGTCAAAAGTAAATTGTGTATCAATATTTTTATATATTCCTTATTTCTAAGCATATCTAAATGTTTTTACGCTTCTTAGTGTTTTACATTGCTTATCAATTGAATTCAAATTATAAAACGTTTACTTTCCTGAAAGAACACCATACCATCATTGTAAAAATAAGGATTTTAGTAAAGAATTATGCTAATATACTCGTTACTTAAATTACTTTTGTTTATTTTATTTATAATTTGAAGTTATTTTTAAAAAATAAGACAAATCGTTAATAATAAGTATTTTTTTATTGTATTAATTTTACTTCTTTTTTATTTAACAGTACTTAATTAAAAGATTCCTTACTGTATATGTCAGATATTTATTATATTTAAAATATTACAATTATAATTTGAATTATATTATTTGTACAACCAATAGATTTAATATAACTTTTATGTTGAAAATTTTAATCGTAATTTTTTTTAACATTTTTTCGTTACGTAAATATTATTCAAAATTATATATTATAAAAATTAGCAATAATTCACTTATAGTGTTCGAGAATGTCAGAAAACTCCCAGTTCATTAAACATCTGGAAAATTCGAGATAAGAGTTCCGAAAAAAGCGAACTCTCAACTACTCGAGAAATAAACATTCAAACGCGCCTCTGGTTAAATAAATCTAATCAATTTAGTAAAACTTCAAATATCTAAAGAAAATATAATTCATAACCACAACAAAGGTCCAAGTGTCCAGCAAAAACACGTTATAAAACTAATGCGACGAGACATTTGACACGGCCTCGCCACAAAGCATCTATCGACGACAAGTCATAAAACATCTGGCGTACACAAGTCTTAAAATTAGTTTGAAAAACACAAGCCAGATGATAGACTCAAATCAATGCTACACCTAACCTTCAGAACACTGACCGATCGCAACGCGCATGATTACAAGAAATGCATGCGACAATGCTAGGATGGAGAGGGAAAAGTGCGGCATCAAGACCCCCCATCATGGAGGGGAGTTGAGCAAGACCCGCTCTCATTGGAGCCCCCATCTTGAAAAGACTCACTGGTGGGAGACCCCACCACTCAAAAGGCGCAGTGATCAGAAATACCATAAACTAAAGAAGACTTCTGATTGAACACACTAATAGGACTAAATCTCATTGGCGACGCCATGATCGACAATACTGCTCTGATTGGCGACACCAAAAGAGAGGGAATTCTCACCGACCACCGCGTGGTCGAGAGAAGGCTTTAAAAAGGCAACGCACAATCACTTATCTTATCTCATCTAACAGAAAAAGAACAAGTCAATTAAAACGCAGTCAAACAATTATAAAGTCCAGACTAATTACGCAAGATTATTCTATTTAACACAAGTGCTAGATAATCAAATCATACACTCGCAGCAGTGCAATACAAGTAAAAAAAAGGGAATCGAGAACTACGAATATCAGTTCGCACAGTATACACAATCAAACTGCAAGGAGCCACACGAGGAAAATTCAAAGAACAAGACAAAACATAGCTATACACAATGTGCAGAACTATGAGGTAACGTTCCATTCATAATTAATACTCTATCAAGCCATACGCGCCAATCTGCAGATACGTAAAGCTATCTGCAAAACACAATACAAGCAATTCAAGCAACGCCACGTGCTCATATACAAGGAAGCGCGGGGGTTTACGACCTCGCTCTTTTGTGTGTATTATTCCATCTACACGTACATTACATATAGAGGACCAGCAAGGCATCAACTTCTTCCTGTGTATGCGACGTACGTGATAGCTCAGTGGCAATAAAACATGCATATCAAGAAAAGCAAGCACTCAATCATAAAAATAAAACTAATTATAATTCAACTAGTGCAATTATATAAATAAAACAAACTAAATAACAAAACTACTCTTCATTGAAAACATGTACTATCTTGTTCACTAGCCTGCAAGCCTCCTATCAACATCGGGAGCTCACACCTAATCTTAGTTACTTGGCCCTCCTCGCCCGATACTCTATTTTTAGACAGACTGTTAATAATGTATTTTTATGTTCCAAATTGTATATTTTACTAAAAAAGAAAAGCGTCAGATAATTATAAACAAAATAATTATTCGTATATTTCTATGAAATATTATTAAAAACATATGTATATATATTAAAGATATAAATATATAAAATCAAATTACTTAAACCTTTAAACAAGTATTTTGTTCTCTTTTTTTACATTATTAATTGTATTATATAAATAAATTTTTTATTTACATATTAAATTCATTTAGAAAATTAAATTATATTTATAAAAATTTTTAATTAAAAAAAAATTTTATTATATAGGTAAACCTATGTTAGAGAGTACCGGCGAAGTACAAGAATATATAGATATTTGCGATTATGCTGTTGGATTATCACGAATGCTACCAGGAAAACTTTTGCCATCGGAGAGACAAGATCATACTCTTTTAGAAATGTGGAATCCATTAGGTGTTATTGGTATCATAACTGCTTTCAACTTTCCTGTCGCTGTAAGAATTTACTATAAAATTTGATTTCAAACTTATAATTAGTATAATTTAAATATATATTTAAATATTGAAATGAAGTTTTAAAAATAAAAAAGTTATTCAACTTTTTATTATCTTATTTTATAACGATTTATTTTGAATGTAAAAATTATCACAAATTATCACGGAGAATTAAATGATTAAATTAATTAAAAAATTAAATGTACTATATCTATTAAAATTAATTTATTAAAGTAGAAGCAAAGATATTCAAAAAATTTTATTTATTATTATAATTATATATATATATATATTATTTGGAATTCCAGCCACCAGTGTGATCGCAGATCACGGTGGGTGGATTAGACCGTACTTCCGGTTTAATGGCGACGGGGGAAGGTTAATGCATTAATTTAGAGTAAACACAATTGGTTCTAGTGGTCTTTATTTAAGTAGTTATTACAGTGATATTGGTGTTATTAAATATCGTGAAATTGTTGATTTGCAATAATTAAGCAGTTGACCATTAAGTCGGAACGTCGTCTGGGAGTGCAAGTCTGAAAGGTGAATTAGAAGTGTTGGGCACGTGCGTTAGCCCTTAAATTGATGGAGTCTTTCTTGTGCGAAAGTCATGTGTCGCGAGAGTCGATAGTGGAATTGTACGGAGCATTATTCAGCTAAGCACTGCTTGGACGTTCGGGTTAATGCTCGAATTGTACTGAGCGATATTCGGCTCGCGACTGCTTAGGCGTTTGAGTCGAGGCTAGGATTCTGCTAAGCAGCATTCGGCTCGTGGAGGTAGTGGGGATTATTACGGATTGTCAATGCCCTCTTTTGTAATTTGATCAGAACCAAATCGTTGTGGCGTGACCGGTAATGTTATCACTGTGAAACAAATGTTGCACGTATTCCCTTAGATGAATTCAACTTTCACTGGCATGACTGGCACTAATTTCACTTGAGTTATTCAACAATACTGATTTCCTTCTCCATTCGTTGCTTCTTAAAGATGATTGCGTACATTCAGTGTTGTAAATTCTTGGAGGTTCTAGTAAATTCTCTGGAAGCAAGCTTTGATACGTTCGAAGAGCTTCTTTTGCTGCTATGCGGACAGTGCGCGGCTAAATTTCCAGTGAATTTTTGTAACGTATAATTCAAATATTGCGCCTTAATCTAAATATAATGTATCGGAATCGCATTATAACAAACAATAAATTGTTATTTTTTGTTAGGTAGTACAATCCTAAACATATATATATATATATATATATAATGTAACATAATAATCTTATTATGATTGTAAAAAGTTATATCTATTTATTATTTATTTATTATTTATTTGTTATATCTACCAATTAAAAGATATTTTCTTCGACTATAATATATAAACATTTTAATAAGCAATAAAGAGGTAATATTTAAATAAAATTCAACAAAGTTAATTCTTCCTATAATATATATTCAAAATTTATATTGCATTTCTTTTATTTAAAATTTTTATTTAATATACATTCTTTGATACAATATTCATCGGTTATTACAATTATACATCGTTTGTTACCGTATCATATTAAAGCTCTGCCTTTTTCACTTAATAGTATTAATTTTCATTTACTTTATCGGTATCAAATTTCATGTTTTCAATCTTATTTAATGTTATGATTTTCAAAATTACTATAAAACTTTATTAATACTTATTGCTAATATAAATTGGATATTTTTAATTTATTATAACATTATTTTTAGCATTTTAATTTATTATATTACAACAAATTAACTCAGATGTAATTTATTTTTTATCGAATTTGTATATCTTTATATTATTCAATGTTGTATCAAAATTAATTACACTAATTCGGCTGATCGAACCAAACGTGTAGAATTAACTAAGAAACCACTGGATGTTGTATGGGAAATTGCGTGGGCAAGTGAAAGGGTTAATGCACTGATTCAATAATTAACACATATAAATTTTTATTGCTGTTATTCCATTTAATTTCAATTTATTTCCAATTTAAGGATGATTAATTGTGATGAGTTATAATTGAACTTTACGTTTTTCAATAATAATGTGACGTGGTGATATAATTCTATTGGAGATCCAGAGGGTTGTGAAATTCTCGATCCTCTGGACGATACGTGTGAATTAGTAATTTACCGTGAAAAGTAATATACTATAAAATTATTGTCACTTTAAATACTATTACTTGAGAGGTTATGAGTGTTTGTTGTGCACTTGAACGAACACAACTGTTCTTTTCTGCGGCGTGATCTTGGCACATGTTGCAGAGGCTTCTAATGATAAGTCGCGTGAGTGCGCACGAACCTAAGATTGAGGTTAGAGGAAATCTGCGCTGCTTTCTGGCGCGAATTGCTAGTCTTGCATAGTGAGCATGCGCGGGAAACTTCTGGACACTAAATGCTTGTAGATCCCCTTTCTGAATGGATCGTGAAGCGAGGAATTAATACTAATGCCGACTTACTTGAGCCAGTAGTTTTATCCCTTCTTTTCTCTCACGGGTGTGAAGGTGAAGTTCCATGTGCTAACTGCTTACACTTGAACTTTCTTGTCTTTCTTTCTTGAGATGATGAAACTCTAGTTCCTTGGGCCTTATTTGTTTAGCGAGATTATTTGTATCTGTGGACGCAAATCACAGAATGAAAGCTATTTCTGCAAGGCTCAGCTGTATGAATTTTCTCTGGTCCTCCTCCATGAGAATAAGTCGTGACTTATCTGGTGAGAATAAGAGATGGTAAATTGCATTGTCCTTCTTAAATAGTTCACTGACCCAGTTCCAATTCGGACCCCTTCTTCTTTCCTGTATCCAATCAGAGTTTGACTTTGGGCAGCATGATGGATCATGCACGCCTTCATTTCCACATCCTTCCACATTTAGTCTTGAATATGCTAATGGGGAAAGTGTCGAAAAGGGGAGAGCTTTTACTATTGGTCGTCTCTCCCTTCTCTGGGACTTAGCTAGATGAGGGGTCCTCTAGGGCGTGGTCGGTTGGCTAGGGCGACCGACAAGATGCGTCGTAGTAAAGAACAATGTAAGCATTGTCTTAAGATGCCGAGTGCGCACGTATGCCTATTGCTTGTTGTCGTAAGTGCAGAGTTTTGGATTGCAGGGAAATTTAGGAAATGTTTTGTACTTGATATTTTACGTATATCTAATAATCTTTCAGAATCTACGTCTTCTTGGCAATAAACAACGAGATCGTTTAACTGCACCGGAAAAGCATGAGCACGTTTTTAGATAAGCGAAATTAAATAAACTAACTATTCATGGGTGTTTTCCAGATGTATTGACTTTTTTGAGTGCCCAACGGTCGTGCGAAGTTGTGGCAATAAAACTGTTCTCGCAATCTCGAACAAATGTTAATATTTTTTGATTAATTTTTTTCACACATCTGTAGTTCTTATTAATTTTCTACATAAGAATTTAGGAAACTAAGAGACTATTATTTAAATATATGAGTTTTTAATGATTTATTCATATAATTTTTCACTTTTATTTCTACCCATTGAATATTTTATTATTAATACTTAGTAGACGTTATATATAACAATTTATATTTAAAAACATTTTACATATATTACTTAAAAAATTTAATGTTTTTTTAAGATAAACAACAAAATCTAAACTAAATATACTCGTAAAAATAAAATTTCTTATATCTCAATGAATTATTCCCATATTTGTTCCCTTTCGATTTATTCGCTAGTAATAAAACATAGATAAATATATATTAATAGTATAATATATCTACCAATATTGTGATACAATAAAATGTATTGCAAAATTCATATGATCCGTGTTAATATTATTTTTGTATTGGAAGAATGTATAATCGAAAAATAAATACTGATTAAATTATTACAAGATGACTTTTTTGTTATTAAAAACTTTATTTGTACTTTTTCTTATCATATCAAGCTCAATATTTAAAACGTATTAATTAAAATAAATTTATTATATTATTTAACTTATTAATTACAATTATTATATTATAATAAAAATTATAATGATTATTTAAAACATATATTATGAATATTGTTTAATTTATAATCATTCAATAAGTTTTACATGCAAATAGGATATTTATATGTAAAAATAATTTAATTTATTTATAACAAAACCTGTATATTATATTAATTGTATATCCTACATTACATGATAATTAAAATGAACTTTAAAAATGAAACAATAAAAAGATTTAAATTAATTTAAAAATTTGATATAACCGTATTTTATAGCCGTAAAATTGAAAAACATTTTTTATATTATTTAAACTTCAATATTATTTACTGATAAAAACGGTATATTTATAGGTTTTTGGATGGAATAGTGCGATAGCTATGATATGTGGAAATGCATCCATTTGGAAATGTTCACCAACAACTCCTTTAATCTCTATAGCTATAACTAAAATTATAGCAAGAGTATTAGATAAAAATAGAATCCCTGGTTCAATTGTTTCTCTTGTTACTGGAGATGCGAATATAGGCGATGCCGTAGTTACAAATAGAAGGTAAAAATAAATGTATATATTTATTGTAATAACTGTTTAGAATGTTTAGTTAGTACAAAATTAGTTCATTAAATCAACTACATAATTTACGTAAATCTAGAATAATTGTATTTATATACAAATATTTATATTAGAAAATGATATTATTTATACATTTATATTTTTTTCCGAGTTATATTTAAAAATTTAAAAAATTTAATAATATAGGAAAAATAAAGCACTAATTAACGATTATTTAATACTCCCGTGTTTTGGATATGAAACAGACATCAGACTGTTTGAATTATAAAATTGCAACTCTTTTAAATTAAAAAATGGATTACTTGAAGTAAAAAATGTAAGTAATACTTTACGTAAATCCTCATCTCAAAAATAAAATGGCAATCTGTGAGCATAATACATGCTTTAAAATAAGTATAAAAAATAGGATATCGCTATTTGTTCAGGATTGAACTACCTAGCAATAAACATTTATTGCTTTATTTAATATGATTCCATTACAATTATATTTATTATTAATACATAATATTTGAAGTATTCGCTATGAAAATTCTAGATGAAATTTAAGCCTTATGGTGTATTCGCATAGCAACAAAGGAAGATTCTCGAATCTACTAAAGCTTGATTTCCGAGAATTTGCCAGAGTTTCCAAGAATTACACACTCTAAATATACGCAATCATATATAAGGAGGAACGGACGATGAAGAGAATCAGTCTTGTTGAGTAAGTCAAAGTGAAATTAGTGCAAGTCATAACAGTTAAAATTCTACACGTCTGTCTATGGGAATCCGTGCAAGGTATACTTATTTGTTTACATTATTCATTATCTATTGTTGGCCAGCTATCGGTGCGCTCTCCGCAAGTTGACGCTAGTCAGACCGCATTGATAGCGACGACATAGACTGGTATCTCCAGTAAACTATTTGTATCACATATTATTATTATTCCGGCTCAGCGCCGACACTATCGGTCAGGCCTCTGCAACTTGATTCTTATCAGACGCTGAAGAGAGCGCCGATACTGTTTAATATTCCCCACTACTTCATTTCTTGAGATTCTCTCCCCCATGAAACTGAAAACGTGCGCCCAGTACAAACAACACAATCCTTGCCTTGCATTTTTGGACGACGTTCTACTGTTTATGGTCAATTGTTAAATTCACGATAAGCTCAATAATTCTCATAATGATCAGTAAGAACAACTACCAATGTAACATAACCTTAAATAAAAGTCACTAAAACTAATTGTGTTTCCACTGAATTGATGCATTTGACTTCTCCGCCCCCCCCCCCCGATACCATTGAACTGGTATGGTCTAATCCATCTACCCTGGTCTTCGACCAATTCTGGTTATTGGAATTCCAAACACTACTATATTTAGAATCATTAATTTTCTTGCAATATACTAATTAATCAGACTGATAAAGGAGTTTCAAAGTTCTATTATTCTTGTATTAGTTATGAAGGCTGAATTTGTGTAAGAGGTAATTTAAAATTATAATGAATACATTTGATCATTTTACACATTCATTGTGATGACTTAGAATGTGAAGTGTACGAATTGCTGATTTCTATATTGTTATTATTTAAAGAAGGAAAAAATTTAATTGATATTCTAAGTAAATATATAGTAAAATATATCATTAATTAAATTGTGAAGCAAATGGGACAGGCATTTTTATTAGCCATTTATCATTAGTAACTGGGAGATATAAATATAATTTTTATAAAAATAATGTTTCCCAGTGAATAAAAGTAGGTTTGTCTCAATACACAATTATTATTAATTTATATTAATTTTTACAGCGAATATATTAATTTGAAGTTATTGAAAATTGTTATAATTTTTTTATTGTTCTTGTAAGAAATTGTAAACAATTGAATGTAGTCTACATATGACTGAACATCATAGTACTGTATACCAATTATTAAAGTTCATAACTTAAATACCTTTTTTTTATAGCTAATCATAATTATTTTAAATTATATTTACCTCTGATACTGTTCAAGATTAGTGAATTTCTCGAATGTTATCATTTGGGGAAATATCCCAAAGGTTATCATTTCAAGGAAAAACCTCAACGGTTATCATTTTGGGCAAATGATTCAACAGTCATAAATTCTAAGAAAATTCTCCAACGGTCGTTGGAGGTTCGGAAAAGCGGGTACATCCCAAATGAAACAAGTGCATAATTACTTCCATTGTGTCTTGCACCGTGCAATCGTACCTATTGTTTCTAGAGCTATGATCGTCCCTTTGTTGTAATCTACCAAAGGTGCCGCGTGGCTATTTAGGACAAGCACACCACAAGGTGTCATGCCTATGTAGACAAGTCGGCCAGCAAGCTACTCACCACGATAAAAAGAAAAAAAATCAATTCTCTCGTTCTGCAATTAAAAGGTGTTGATACTATTTCCTACATATCAAAAAACACCAGACGACACAAACATACTCCCTGATTAGGAGCGTGCATAATTATTGCTGATTCTTGCAAAATCAGAAATAATTTATCACCATCAACAAGGAACATTCGTAACGGTGAACTACTGATTACAGGATCAGATCAAGGCTACTGCATCACAGTGAGTAAACAAAGTCTGTGAATGATTATTGCCAGTCCTTACAAGACTAGCATCACGCTATTATTGATTGATCGTTACAAGATCTACAACATCACCATCATCAAGGACCATCTCGGGTAGATAAACCATTAACCGCAGGAACAGGTCCAAGCAACGGCATCTTCGTGATTGAACATGGGATACACCTTTCATCGCATAATTTCAATACATCAATAATATAATTATAAATAAACCTTAATAAATCATATTTATTGATGAATTACACACTGTACTCTACAGCCCTTCCACTTAACTCCTCTCCAAGCACCCCCTAGGGCCGGTGGTAAAAAAACTGTCGAAACATTAGCAGTTTGAGCCAGGAAATAAAACAGTTTCGAACAATTACAATATTACTGTTTTGACTGTATTATAGTTATAAAAAAATATTTTTTAAGAACTTTTGAGGAAGAAATGTATTATTACTTTTAAAGCATAATGACTATATTTTATTTATACTTTGAATTAAATCTTATTAATATATATATGTACAGAATACCATTAATTTCATTCACGGGAAGTGTAACAAATGGAAAACAAGTAGCTCTAAAAGTTCAAGAAAGATTTGGAAAAATTTTACTTGAACTAGGAGGAAATAATGCTATGATTGGTATGTATTAATAGGATTTTATAAAATCATGTATGATTTATTTATTTTAAATATATAAATTGAAATTATTTTAAATGAAAAAAAAATTAATCATAATTAACAAACGTTAGTTCTTTTATGAGTATAAAAATAGTTTTAATACGGTATTAATCGCTGTTATGCAATATTTAAAACTATATCATACATTCATTTATCATCCAGTTTATTTTATAATTAAAAAAATAATATATCATTTTTAGTTTATAATTTTAATATTTTACGGAAATTTGTCTGCGCTCCCAAATAACTTTAACTTTTAGTTAAAAATTATCTTTTTAGATCTAGGCGTATTAATAAGTGTTTAAAACAAAAGAATATTAAAAAATTGTATTTAAAGTTCAATAAACTATTAAAATATAATATTAGTAGTATAATAAAGTATAATATTAAAATATTATTACGGATTACAGCAATTTTACGCGGTAAACAAAGTGGGAGAGATGTGTGCTTAGGTCGAAACATTTGCGCGCTGAGTCATAAACACGATTCTACGAAATCGGGAAACTTCACTACTCAAAATAGTCGAAATTACATTACAATTCCGACTAACAAGGGCCGACGAACTCTCCAAGGCTAGGTTCTAGTGACGTCAATCTAACAATCAGCATGACAAGAGTGATCCAGAATTCACCGGAATCGCAAGTCTGTGCTAGGATATTTAAGCAGACGCGCTTGACGCTCTCGCTTTCTTAATAGTTCAATCAAGCATTCATCAAGATCGGATCGCCGTCCTACAGATCGAACCCAGCTCAGCGTAAGCCAAGCTAGTTTCCGCCACCCAACACTGCACAGATCGACTCCAGCCCAACGGAAGCCAAACTCACTAGACCCACCAACGCTGCAGAGATCGACTACAGTCAACGGAAGCCAAGCTCACGGCCTACCAACGCTACTACACGGATCGACCTCAACACACGTAAGCCACGTTATTACACACGTTCTTACGTACCATCAATGCAACTGAGATCGATTCCACACACGTAAGCTACGCTATCACACACGTTCTTACGGAACACTAATACACGGCTCCCACCAACTAAGTAAGCAGCAATACTAATAAGTGGTATACGGTACGAGGAATACTCCCACCCGTCAAGCAGTGACGTGACACGGATATCTTCCTTCCACTAGACCGCTACAGCGTGCATCTCGCTAGCGGCAACGGCATCATCACTGCCCCGCATGAGAGACATCACACAGGCGCCCCCCACTCAGGCCGCTACAGTTCTTCTTGGCAGCGGCAAAGGCGGCACCATCGCTGCCCCTTATCAGCGCGAATCTCCCACTACCATTGCGAGTTCATAACTATGAGTAGGAGAATCAAGCACCAAGCTACCAAGAATACACTTACAGGATTCTTGTCGCTCATATTAATTGAAGAAACTCTCCTCTATTCATTGTATCATACATTCGATTTGATATCCATAGACCACTGACTATTTATTATATTTATTATATTCAATAAAGGGAAAGACACTACATTCAAAGGCAGTGTTGAATTATTGTCCCTTCCACTTGCCAGTAAGCCTCCATCCACCATCACAGGGAGGCTTTTAGTCTGATCCTAGACAAATATTGATAGTTAAAAACAAACAATTGATAAATTAAAATCTAAAAGCTTAATTAATTCAATAATTAATAATTTTGAAACACATTTTTAAATGTAAATAATTTAATCAGAGTTCCATTTAAATATGTAGAAATATATCTGGTAATAAAGGTAAATATTGAATTGTAACATTATGGTGTGTAAATTACATACCTATTACAATTCGTAATAAATAAGTCCAAAGATAACATAAAATAGAATAAAAAAAATGTTATTGGTTATTATTATTATTTTATTACTTTTCAGACATCTTAACATCAATTTTAGATTATTACGACAATATTAATTCTAACTAAATATTTTTCTTTTATAAAAAAGAGGAAATTTATTAAGTTAAAACACTTTGAGAATAACTGGTATATACAATGAAAAAGTAGAATAATGTATTAAAAAAAATAAGATAATTTACAGTTTCGTAGTTTGTATAAAATATTCTAAATAATCGAGAGTAAAAGCGAGAATTCAATTTTTAAAAGATAGCAAAACATTTTAATATAAAAATTAAAAATGTTCGGGATTGAAGCAATTTCCAAGACCGTTGACCATCGGCATTGTTAGTTTCTATAAACACTTGGGACGAGATTTTTCGTATACTTTTTATGTTTTTGTTTCAAATGGCCTACAATGTTTATGGTCTTCGAACAGTAACATCGTTTGGGATTCTCCAAACTTCTTACGCCTTGTTTTTTGTTTAGAATTCTCGAAACTTCTAGGGTTTTCTTTCTGCGCGTCATGTAAGATTCCAGTGCAGCAACATCAATGCTTTGTTCTCAGCTAAGTAAGCTGTCGCGTGGGTATTTAACCTGTACCTCTCTTGCAGTGAACCAACCACAGTGAACCGATCTAGCAGTGAACCCTGTAAGTGAACTAGCCATGGCACGAATCTCGGTCTGCCTCAGCAGGACCGGCATGGAACAGTTGGTATCCCTCAGCAGAGCTGCCACGGAACGATAAAGCCTTCAGTTTTCGTATGCGTATGCAACAGGCTCATTGTGTAGCAGTTATACAACTACACTACTCAGCCATTGCCTTTTGCTCCGCACCAGTCGCTCAGATATATAACACAATGAAGCCATCCAAGGAATACATGTTCAATTATGAAGCGCGCTACACTTATAAGGAACCAAGGGTGCTAACTGCATACCGAGAAACTACACTGCTACAACAAGCATAGTCTCAAGATATTTCTTACACGTTAAAGCCACGCGTCGGATACAGGCGTGTGCGCATATCGTAATGTGTATAAGGTATGTGTGCGCATAAGTTATCGAAACACTCGCAGTTTGTTTCGAGCAGGACGCTTATGTTTGTAAACATTGATTCTGCGAATTCTTGTATAGTCTACGTCTTATTTTCTAGTGTCCGACAATATTTCCGCATAGCAACGTAAATTGAAAATTTTCGAACCTTCCAAGGGAGTCCCCTACTAGACTTCTCGAACATTCTGGAGCTTAGTTTCAAATGTCATTAGGACTTTCGGCCGAGCAACAAGCCCCAGCACTATTGCCAGCGTTGTAAGCTGCCATGAAATTATTTAAGAGCAGCTCGCCACGAACCGGGGCTCACTGTATTTTTACCAATCATTCACTCATCGTTTATTACTTATAGTATTTGTCAATGAATCATTATCAGTTATTATCAGTTATTATCAGAAATTATCAGTTGTTATCAGAAATTATCAGTTATTATCAGAAATTATCAGTTATTATCAGAAATTATCAGTTATTATCAGAAATTATCAGTTATTATCAGAAATTATCAGTTATTATCAGAAATTATCAGTTATTATCAGAAATTTCAGAAATTATCAGTTATTAATTATCAGTTATTATCAGAAATTATCAGTTATTATCAGAAATTATCAGTTATTTCTCACACAGCCACTAGACTTTGCCGTATACCAGTCAATCACTTTACAATATACACATTTAATTCTGGCAGACTCTACAATAATAAGCTAGTAAGCCAACAGTGAACCCATAATAATTTATAACCATTTAACTGCGCCATAGTTAAGCAGTCAAGGGTGCTGATTGTATCTCAATAGTGAACATTAAACTAGAAACGCACCACCTACACATTCATCACAGAATTAGGTAAGACATGAATTTCTGTGAATTTAATTAAAGGAGAAACCATATATTGGTGGCGTAAGAGCGCCAACCTTGTACGGCTTTGAATCTGTAAATACAAATAATATGAATTATGAATTATATAATTCTTTTTACTTACTAGCAATGATATTCAAGAATAATTATTTTGGAAATATTATTATTGTTCTTGATATTTTAATTTATAAGTTGTAATTCTTGAAATTCTAAAGTTTCAGATAGCGCGAATATGGACATGGCCGTAAAAGCAGCAACTTTTTCTTGTATCGGTACATCAGGTCAACGTTGTACCACAACTAGACGATTAATTCTGCATAAAAATCTAAAAAAGGAATTCATAGGTATAAATCCAATTAATAATAATTATCCAATAAATACATCGATTTTTTAACTATGCTTAACTATAAACGCTATAATTTAACGAACTCATTTAATTTCAGAAAAATTAAAAAAATCATATAGTATTGTTTTAAATGCAATTGGAGATCCTTTAAAAGAAACAACTTTATATTCTCCATTACATAGTCAATGTTCTATTAATGCATATGAGGTGTAGTATTATAATATTTATTTTAAACACGAATTAAAGTTTATTGTTTTTATATTATTTATTTTATGTCACTTAAATTATTATTAAAGTTATTGTTATTGTTATCATGCGTAGTTGCTCTTCTTATTGATATCTTAATCTTATTATTTCTATTTTTATGTGATATAATATAATTAGTATTGAATATAATCATCTAAATTAATAATGGCAAAATATACTAACAAATACAGTTTAAAACTAAAAAATATAATAATAAAACAAATATATATAGATATAGATATAATATAGATTAGCAATAAATGAGAATAAAATGTTATTATAAAGTATAAACTTAAGTAAAATCATAACATACTGTACAAAATGCACCTCGTCGTTTCGACTTGTTTTATCAAGGCCGGTTCGACGGATACAATTTGATGCCGATGACAACTCAGAGACCACGGGTGTTGTGTGGTAGCAATGACAGGTCACAAGTGGAATGAATATTATAATAATACAATAAAGATATGGCTGAAGTATGCTATTTATTCTGTTATTTATTAATGACAGGATGGACTAGTATTACTATTATTACTTGCAGAACTAAATTCTTGATTGAAGTGATGTGTTGCGGAGACAACTGTACAATAATCTATGCAGCTTGATTATTGAATATGAATGGCGAATGGCGCGAAGTTTCGTTCGTCGACACTAGCGTCTTTTGAACGAGCACGTGTGTGGTTGAGGTTATGGATGCGGCTTTATTATTGAAAGATATCGCAAGTGGCGTGAAACTGGATTTGTCGACACTTGTGCTGTGTGTTGCTTAATTTCATAAGCTTCCGAACTTGAACTAAGGTGAGGGTTGCTAAAAATGGGACGCTCCTGGGGGGCGCGAAACTTGACGACGTGTACTGCAATTTATTCCGCACTGTCGTTTTAAGAGAAGCTTCCTCGTCCTTAGTGCTTGTCGATGTAATACTCTGAATCTCAATATATATGTAATTATTGTAGTAAATATTACTTACGAAGACTAATCGTTGACTCATCTCCGGACTCCGATATGCGGATTGTCGTTGCTCCCGTTGAATATGTAACGAAGGTTTCTTGAACTGCGTTAGTGAACATACGGATTTATGTCGTGGTTCTTCCGGGGCAGTAACTACTGTTCCAGTAACAGTGTTAATGGGCAATCCGAAGAAGTGTAAGTCGTTCCCGAAATAGCGCTAAATAGACTTTCACTAAAAACTTAACTGAGTATGAAATGTCTCAAGGGTTTAATATATTGAGAGAGTATAACTAAAAGAGTGATATCAAAAGTACTAATAAGCAATAGATATAAAAAACTGAGAGACATTTCGAAAAGAGTAATATCACGAAAATATTTCTAACTGAAAACTATCAAGAGTAAATATCAAGACAGTTAAATATCACGAGTGATAAAGATTAAGAGAGTTAAGTACCAAGAGAGTAAATGAGTATTGAAAATTGCGCCCCTTAAATATATTTGCTGACCATAAATTTGACTTGAACCCCTTTCCTTATTTTTCGTCCAATCAGAGACTTCTCCCTTACAGTGCGAGGGCAGCGCCTCTTGTGGCTTCAGAGTTAATTAAGGGTCTAGTCGTCTCTTGGTCTTCATGACAAGAAGACCTCTCGTTGCTGCTGCCGCATGCGACAGCTTGTGGGCAGCGGAAAGGGGGGGCCTCGCTGACGCATCTGGCGACAGCATTACAACTTGTACACAGCGGGAATGGGGATGGACGGTCCGCTTGCAGTAATGTTTGAAGTAATTACCGAGCGGAACGAAAGTGCAGATGTGTAACTATGGGTTTTTCCCGTGTTTATTGTATTGTTTTTCCAGATGTTTTATATCACTAGTGCTTGATAATTGCAAGCAAGAAAGTTTTGAAATCTAAATACAAATTTTACGATGTTAATTGCCAGATGTTTTATTGCATTGAAAAAAGGTCTCGCATTCTCGAACAGCTTAGGATATTTAAAAATTGCAATGAACAATAGAAAATTGACCATATATATAATTAATATAAGTAATCATTTTAATCGAGAACCACTATTTGGCTTAGATGATCTATCGATTCTATATTATGTAATATATTATCACTTATGTCTTATAATTACTTTGGATATCAGCTTAGTTTATTGTGGATATGCAATTCCTATGCATATTAAATTACTGAAGATTTTTTTTATTATATTGATATTTTTCCCATGTATTAATGGCATTCCATCTTATATAATTATTGATGTTGTTTTAGATATCTCTTCTAATCATTTGATTTTAAATTCTGACAAATATCACTGCTTTATGGTGTTATATTTGCAGAATTTTTATATTGAGTTAAAAAAAAGATTGCAAATATAAATTTTTTTACCAGAAAAAAATTATACTTACAGCTTTACAAATATTAAATAAAGATTACATTCGTTTTTCTAAGACGTAAAATAGGACAATTGGTTTGGTAATATAATTATTGTTATTTTTTATTCAGCGATCTATAACATGTACAAATAACCAATGAAATAAATAAACAATTTTAAAAATTATGATCGATATCCATTGACACTCTAGTTTGTTGTGTTTAATAATATGTATTTAGTATTGTATTTTACCACCAATATTTTTAATTCTTATATCTAAGAAAAACATCGGTAAATGACCGGTAATTTCCAATATTTCATAAATCTTCAAATACAAATGACCGATTTTCAATTTGACATATGATAACAAATCATATGTATTTTTAGTGCTGCTTATAGAATTATATGTTACATATAAAGATTTATAAATAATAGGCTCTGTTGAAAAATTAATTCCATTAATCCGACTCATCAGCCAAACGTGTAAAATTAACTTAGAAGAAAACCACTAGATGTTGTGTGGGAAAATGTTGGGCAAGTAAAAGGTTACTGCACTGTTTCAATGATTAATACATTTAATTTTTACTGCTGTTTATTCAATTTATTTCAATTTATTTCCAAGTTGATATAATTAACAGTGATGAGATTAAAAATGACCTTTATATTTCTTAATAATCATGATGCGTTGAGATATACTTTTATTGGAGAACCAGAGGATGATCAATTCCTTATTCTCTGCATGCAACTGATGAGATTATGATTTACTGTGAAAAGAAATAGGTTATAATCTATTGAATATTATTACTTGAGAGGTTATGATCGTTTGTTGTGCTCTGACAGAACATTACAATCTTGATTGTGTCGTAACTCGACACGTATTCTGATTGTCTTTGAATAATGGGCCGTGTGATTGAGCACGTGTCTAAGTTGTGGTTAGAGGAACTATGAACCACTAGTGTGGCGTCAACAGCTGATCATGTTTCTGGTTCTGCGAGGCAACTTCAGTAGTCGGGTTACTGGACATCCGTTTTCAGAGTAAGTCGTGAGGTGAAGAATCAGCACTATCGGTCAGGACTTACTTGCAATTGTAATGTGATGCTCCCAGTTCCTCCTCACAGGCTTGATGAGAAGTTTCCTTCCAATGATTGCAGCTCTTAACTTCTTTCTTGTCTCCTTACTGAGATGACAAGAATCTTAGTGCATATGCTATCAGAGTTTGATGAGACCAACGATAACTGTATATTGAATCACAGTTGTACAAAGATAGGTTACAAGACTCAGTTGATCGCTTTTATCTCTGGTCCTCCACCATGAGAATAAGTCATGATTTATCTGTTCAATAAGAATAAGTGGCGGTACATTACATTGTCTTTCTTAAATAGTTCACTGACACACTTTCACTTGGGACCCCTTCTTCTTTCTGGTATCCAATCAGAGGTTGACTTTGGGCAGCACGTTGGATCATGCACGCCTTCATTTCCACTTCCTTCCGGGCTCAGTCCCGAATATGCTAGTCGGGAAAATATCAGAAAGGGGGGAGCTTTTATTATTGGTCACCTCTCTTTGGTCGCCTCTCCCTTCTCTGGGACTTGGCTAGACGAAGGGTGCTCTTGCGCGTGGTCGATCTTCCAATGCGATCGACTAGAAGCGGCGTAGTTAAGAACAAGGCAAGCATGGTCTTAAAAAGTCGAGTGTGCACGTGCGCCTATTGCTTGTTGTCGCACGTGCGGGGTTTTGGGTTGTAGCGAAATTTAGGAAATGTGAGTACTCGATATTTTACGTATATCTGACACTCTTTCAGAATCTACGTCTTGTTAACAGTAAACAACATATTAGTTTTACTGCACCGGAAAAGTATGAGCACGTTTTTAGATAAGCAAATATAAATAAGCTAAATATTCACTGGAGCTTTCCAGATGTATTGACCATCTCGAATGTCCAGCGACCGTGGGAAGTCGTGGCAAGAAATTGTTCTCGCATTCTCGAACAGGCTCAAATAATTAAATATCTTAATTTTAAAATTCTGTCACTAACAGGGTAAAAAATTATTAGAGTAAATCTTATCTATATACAATATACATTGATAAATTTATACCTTTCATATATATCACAAAGCAGAATAATTATAAAAATCAATTTTATATAAATATATAAAATATTGTGTTTTAATTTTACCATGTTAATAGATTTATACGAGATTCTTGCAAATAAATGTTCTAATTGTTGGTATATAATAAGAAAATTAACAATTTATTTTTTATTAAACCGTTTAAATTACATTTTATAAATTAATATTATTCAATTTAACTTTTACTTAAAATTTCATTTTCTATCGTTACGATTTTTTTAAACATTTTTTTTTATTGTCCATACATAAGTTTCCATCAACAAGACAGTATCATAGATATACCAACTAAATAGTTTGATCTACCGCAACAGTTATACTAATATTAATATTAATATTTTACTGTAACTTAGGTTCTATTATATAAATTCTAAGTAAAAGACATTCTTCTTATTAGCATTCGCGTATCATGTCTATAATTTATATTCAGATATGTTTTTACACAATTAAGAGCAAAAATTATAATTACATAATTTGTTTTTTTTTTTTAATAAATTTACTTTAATATATAGTAATATTTTAAAAATTACATTCTATATAATAATTTTAATATGAATAATATTTATATTTTGACAGAATACTATAAGTAAAGCAATTAAAAATGGAGGAGTCATAGAATTTGGAGGAAAACGTATGGATAGAAAGGGCTTTTATGTTGAACCAACAATTATATCTGGCCTAAAAGTAGATGATGATATTGCACAAACAGAAACTTTTGCGCCTATAGTTTATGTATTTGAAGTTAATTCATTAGATGAAGCAATAACAATAAATAATTCAGTTAGTCAAGGTTTAAGTAGCTCTTTATTTACAGATAATATACAACATTTATTTAAAGTACATTTAATTTTCTTTATTTTATTTAAAATTGAAGTATATAAATTATATTTTAGACTAAAAAAATTTTTTAGTGGATTGGACCAAATGGTTCAGATTGCGGAATTGTAAATGTTAATATAGGAACTAGTGGAGCAGAAATAGGAGGTGCATTTGGCGGAGAAAAATCGACTGGCGGAGGCCGTGAAAGTGGAAGTGATTCTTGGAAATATTACATGAGACGATCAACTGTAACAATTAATTATGGACAAACTTTACCATTAGCTCAAGGATTAAAATTTGAGGTATTGATATTTCAAATTTATATTATTAGCTATTTAATTATTTATTTATTATATAAATATTGTACTTAAAAACTCCATAATAAATATTTTAATTTTTCAGATTTAATAGTTAGATTTGCATTGCTAATAATAAAATCAAACATATTTATATAAGTGTGATGTGATCAAGATTTTGTATTTTTCATTTTTTACCCAAATACTACTCAATTATTAATTTTGCTAAAAATGTCAAGGTCCTCAACAAAAATTGTTAAATTGAATAAAAAAGAAAACATCTTTATTATTCATTTGAATATGTTAAAAGTTAATACGATAAATATATATAAAATATATTATTAAGAAATTTTTATTTTTTTAATAATTTGTTTGTAAATATATTAAATTACTTAATTTTCGGGAAATAAATATACAAAAAAATAACGAAAAGTAATTAAAACAAATAAATTTTCAATTTAGACTTGAATTCGTGCAGAAATACTGATTACTATGCTTTCCATAGCAATGAATTTAAATTTGTAAATACCATATAATTTAAAAAATTCCTAATTACTAAGAATTGTATTATTTGTTGCGGATATTAAAATGAATAATATTTTTTTGAGCAAACCATTTTTCACTTATTATTCAATGATTTAATAAATATGTAAAACTCACAATAATATAAATAGAACTATTCCGTGAATTAAAAAGTTTTAGAGCAAAAAAATTTTATTATTATTTAACATACATATATATATCGCTTTTTGATATATTTGATATATCATGATTTTAGATTATCTACAAAATTTTCAATAACCTTAGTTATTAAAATAATCTAAGCATGTCTCAACAAAATTTTAATCTTATTATAACAATTTAAAATCATATTAAAAATCATCAAATATTTTAAAATTTTATTGATAAGAAAGATTTGAATGGTTTTCTGTTTATGCAATAGAAACGTATACTATTTTTATTATAAATTTTATTTATATATATTATTTTGCCTATCTTACCTTTTCAATAAGTTAACAACAGACATTTTTTTATATAGAAAGCAGTATTTATAGAATTATATTTTTATTCCATTGTAAATTCAAAAATAATTGAATTCAAATGATTAATGTCAATGACTTGACTTTATGGCTTTTGAGCTTTTATAATTGCTTGATTATGCTTAGCTACTTATGTATTAGTGCATTTTATTTGTAATAGTAATATATCCTATAATTTATATCGTAATATCTATAATTCTATTGATTAAGTACTACAATGATATTACAGTTAGCAAAATACTTATTTTGTTAAAAAATCAAGAATAATATATTTGATTTTCTAAATTTGCTACATGAAGCTGTCTGTTCGAGATTGCGAGAACCTTTTCCTATACCATAAAACATCTGGTAAAACAGTATCGTTAAATTGTCGTTAGACTTCTGAAAAGTCCTGCCCATAAAACATCTGGCAATGAAGTCGTAAGATTCGGGTAAACTTACCTCATTAGGCAGCTGCAAGGAATCGCTATACCCGAAAATCTAAAATCTAACGGTATGTACTGCCCCCCTCCCTTTGTCTTCAAGTTGTCATGCAACCGCCAGAGGCGTCGAGGACAACGAGATCGAGAGCTCTTCTTGCCGTGAAGACCAAGAGAAAACTAAGCTTCATAATTGAAATCGAAGCTGCGAGAGGCGCTGCCCTCGCTCTATAAGTCGCAAGCTCTCTGATTGGACACAAAAAAGGGAAGGGATCCCAAGTAAACTCCATAGTCAGCGAATGTATTTAAGAGAGATAATTTCAAGATTCAATCACTCTCGGTAAAGTCCTTATTCAAATATGAAGTGCAAACTTCTCAGAGGATAGCAACAGTGTACTACGCCAAGAGAATAAAATATTAAATCCAATTACCCCTGGTTAAAGTGCGCTTGCTATGGTCAAAAGTGTGATCTGTCAGAATCAATCTTCGCGTCATTTGCGCCCATCTTGCCAACCCTAACCTCAACAAAGCACGTACCCATAAGCACGTAGCGCGTGTCGACAAGCCAATATTCGCGCCATTCGGCGCTTATAGCAGAAACTACTCACTTCCCAGGAAATAGCATCAGTATACTATGCCAAGAGAAGCAAATATTGCAATTAAAGTACACTTACTACAACAAAGTGTGATCTGCCCAAACAAAGAGTTCATCAATTGATAACAGTAATAAGAATCATTCTTGTATCTGGAAATGAACGGAACAAACTGCATAAGAAACAGATGTATTAATATTGAATTTATTACACTATCTCTTCCATTAATTATCGCGTATTTCGCAGCGCGCAATACCGCATATCTCTACCACATAAAATCTCGTCGTCTCTTATCTACATAAACAATTTTGGTCATTCGAACCGTACTTGGTAAAACAAGCCGGATCGTCGGATACATTTTATACACTGTCACATTACTAATATGTATGTTTTTTTCCATTTCAATTTCAAAAATTTGAGACTTTTTAAATATAAAGTTTATAAAATTCTTTTTATACACATAAATTTAATAGAAAATTTATATATTTTATATTTTATTTAATATTTTTATGGACGAAAGACGGCAAACTTAAATAAGAATTTCCGAACGATTAAAATTTCCATATAAAATATTTCATATATTATTAAATTAAAATATCATATATTAATAGTGTTCAGGATTGAAACAGTTTAAGCAGAATTAAAAATTGGGAAAAGTACAAGCTCCTGGGCGCATATGTTTGTAAACACGATTCAGCGAATTCGGGACTTTTCCTAACATAGCAATAGGCATCGGTGCTGTTGCCGGTGTCATAAGCTGCTACGTGAATATTTAAGAGCAGTTCACCACGCGCCGTGCACTGTACTTTTAATATCCACTCAGTCACCACGCACCTGGCTCACGATGTTTTTACTATCTACTCAGTTATCAATTATAGCTGACTATATTTTTATCTAACATTCAACCAACAGTTATCGCTCACTGTAATTATACCACACGCTCACTCATCTGTTATTATGAATTAGTATACTTTAATCTATCTAGTATCGGTTATCAATTACGATTACGAAACTTAGTCGCAAGCCTGGCAATCGACCTACAACATATGCGTGCATTATTAACAGCATCTGCAATAACAAGTTAGTAATTTAACAGTGACGCCATTTGAATTGTAATCAATAAAGTGCGCCAGACACTAGTATAGTATAGTGTAGGGTAGTTCATAAGGTACATCTTTATTATTTGTACAAGCTAGTCATCCATGTTCGAATCACGTTTCACATAAAGTCTGCCAAGAAGGGTAACGCAACACACTCTCTCAGGCGAACCAGACTGGAAAGCGTTCGTTCACCTCTCCAATCCGTTTAATTAAATTATCAAGGGCAGATAACAGTTAGCTAATAGTCGATCATAACTATCTATTATTAAGTTCTTCCGTACTTGAAGGCTTATCGTGATTAGCTCTCTAATACTCTTATACTCCCTTTGGAGTATGGTCGATTTACTTGCTTACTTGCTATTTACTTGCTTATTCTCCCTACTAAGCACTATTGATTACCATTACCATCTTCCTGCTGCTCATCAATGAGCATGGTCAATTTCTCATGCTGATCCTAACAACATCAGCATAAACCCAACTTTCATAACATCAACGACAACGCCACCACCTCCAAAAGGCAACCTCACAATAGCCATAGAATAATTCCATTTCTCTCACTTGAATCAATCATAAAACTGCAATATTATATTTATTAATAAATCAGAATAAACAATATCTTCATTTAAAATATACATTACATGATATTTTCAGCCCCTCCACTTGTGTCTTTTCCTACTAATCGCTACGGCGAGAGACTAACCAACTGAACTATTGAATTGGCAGTTCGATCCACAAAAAAAATACTTAATTTCGAACAAATAGAATCATAAATGGTTTAAATTTATAAGTGTATTATAACACATTTTTTAACCAACTTTTTACTATTATATACATATTTTATAAAAATTATACATAACATTAATTTTAACACAGTACATAATTTATTGATAGTTGAAATATTTTTGGTCTATAAGGCTCTAATCTATTTCACAACTTTAGCTAATAATTATGGAACCAATTAATTTCTTTTGAATAAAAAAATATAAAATATATTTCTATATGAAATTTGTGCAAAAAAGAACCAAACTTATTAGTTTTTACAAATTCATGTAATACATACATAATAGTTATACATTATATTAGAAGATCTTGTTTTTAATGTTTTAATATTTTCAAAATATAAAATGTTTTATCTTTTATAGCATATAGCTGTCTTTATGACTATTTAGTTATTAATATAAGCTTTATAGTCAAATTAATCATTTTATATATTTATATATTTTATATATTTTATATATTTGTTTTTATATTTTTTATTTAAATATTAATACCACTAATATTTATATTAATTATTAGATAGGTTTTAATTTTATTTTTTAAAATTGTACTTAATTTACAAGAAATAAACAATTTTGTTTAAACTATAATGAGATATTATAATATTTACTTCTTTAAATTTTTATATTTTGAATAAAACATTGTTGCCTTATTAACATTAACAATGTAAAAAGGTCAATTACTATCTAATTGTTATTTTTATTCATTTACATTTAAAACATTTAAAACTTAAAGTTTATAATTCTATTAAAACCATAAAGTATATACATTTTAGTAGTATGCATCAAAATAAATTAAATGAGAAGTTATCTAAAATAAGCGTCTTTATTTTTAGAACTATCATTTTATATATAAGAATACATTGAAGGCTGCGATTTCAAATATAATTTAAATAAAAAAGAATAGAAATAAAAATTTGTTTTTGTGCAACTACATACTTATTATTAAAAATAAAATATAAAACACTACTACGTTATTCAAAGAAAAGGTAAAATTGAAAAATAATTGGCGAACTTGAAGTTTGTAATTATGTCATATTGAAAATACAATTTCGTACTACTGTCTGATTTTAACTATGCTATATAAATATTACAATAACGTCATACAGTTTGAATAGTGATTTCACAGCGAAACTAAAAAACTCTGACTGAAGGAATAAGATGACAAATTAAAAAAATTGAAA